AAGCAGTGTACCTCAAGTTTAATAAAGTAGTACAACGTATGTTTTATTTATCTAGGCCAATGCATTAACTGATATTAGAGAGATAAAACTGGTCAGATGAAGCAGTGTACCTCAAGTTTAATAAAGTAGTACAACGTATGTTTTATTTATTTAGGCCAATGCATTAACTGATATTAGAGAGATAAAACTGGTCAGTTGAAGCAGTGTACCTCAAGTTTAATAAAGTTGTACAACGTATGTTTTATTTATCTAGACCTACGTATTAACTGACATTAGTGAGATAAAACTGGTCGGTTGAAGCAGTGTATCTTAAGTATAATAAATGTATTTTTTTTATAATTAATACTTAATTCATCTAGATTAAACCCTGCCAAGTCATCTCAAATTTGTGTATTTTTTTGTTAGAAGTTATCCCAACCGAATTTACACATAAAGATGTATAGTTAATACCAACTGTACACAGAAGGACGTACAGCTAACACTAACTATATAATAAAGATGTATAGTTAACACCAACATTACACAAGAAGATGGATAGTTAACACCAACTTTACACATGAAGATGTATAGTTAACACCAACTTTACACATGAAGATGTATGGTTAACACAACTTTACACATCAGTATGTATAGTTAACACCAGTTTTACACATAAAGGTGTATATTTAACACAAACTTTACACGTGAAAATGTATAGTTAATACCAACTTTACACAGAAAGATGTATTGTTACCACCAACTTTACACACACAAATGTATAGTTAACACCAACTTTACACATGAAGATTTATAGTTATAACCAACTTTACATATAAAGAAGCATAGTTAACACCAACTATACAGATAAAGATGCATTGTTAACACCAACTATACAGATAAAGATGTATAGTTAACACCAACTTTACACATGAATATGTATAGTTAACACCATCTTTACACATGAATATGTATAGTTAACACCAACTTTACACATGAATATGTATAGTTAGCACCAACTTTACACATGAATATGTATATTTAACACCATCTTTACACGTGAATATGTATAGTTAACACCAACTTTACACATGAATATGTATAGTTAACACCATCTTTACACATGAAAATGTATAGCTAATACCAACTTTACACATGAAAATGTATAGTTAACACCAACTTTACACATCATGATGTATAGTTATAGCTGTACACACAAAGATGTATAGTTATCACCAACCTTACACATAAAGATGCATAGTGAACACCAACTTTACACATGAAGATTTATAGTTAACACCAACTTTACACATGAAGATGTATAGTTAATACCATCTTTACACGTGAATATGTATAGTTAACACCAACTTTACACATGAATATGTATAGTTAACACCAACTTTACACATCATGATGTATAGTTATAGCTGTACACACAAAGATGTATAATTAGCACCAACTCTACACAGAAATATGTATAGTTAACATCAACTTTACACATAAAGACGTATAGTTAAAATCTGAACTATAATATGTATAAATAACATGATAAAAAGATGTAAGGATGATTATAAATAATTAACTGTTTATGTTTATTGTAATATTCTTAAGTATTTATACAGAAACCAAAGAAACATTACATGTACTTGTTGTTTGAAACAGTATTTTAAATAATTATAGGTTGCTATTAAACCGATTCTTCTCACTTGTTACAGTCCATGTCGCCACCATCGATCATGCTATATCTGATGACTTTTGGTAGTTTAACGTCGTAGCTTCCACTGCAAAAGTCTCCGTCAAAAGATAGTCATGTTGAAAACAATCAAACACCCCTCACCGCGTTCTTTCCATAATACATAAAATGTACAAGAAGGAAGGTTTCCTAGCGACGTATCAAGCGTATACAAGACGCCGCACTTTCCTTAACATGGCTGGCGTACGACTCGTTGCAGGTATCTTTGTGGATGGTCCTGGTGTCCCACGATAATACATGTTCTTTGGTTTTCAAATGTCATTAAGGTGTATACCCGCCTTGGAAATTGGAAACACAATATCTGGTCACATCTGGATTATCTGAGTGTTTGAATATTTTGCGTCGGAAGGGCTATTACATACCCTTCCCAAAAGAGACCAAATATATAGATGGCGTAACACCATTTACAAAACGCCAAACAACGTGATAACGTAGTTCTTATACAGATTATTGTAGCGACACTTTATATCCACTGCAGTTGTCACGTGACTTGGCAATTAGTATTTTGAAAATAAACGTACTCGATCCTCTATAGTAGAGACGTCTGAAAATATCGAATGAAACGAGCCTTAGAAGGATGTTCTTTCATCTGGTACAAGTAAATTGCATATATTTTCGGCTTAGCTCTCTGGAAAGCTCTATTGTTCGTTCGTTCGTGCTGGGTAATGACAGCGCGTGAGCTGTATAGTAGCTACAACATACTAATGTTTCTGTGATCAATACTTGCTATGCTAATCACGAGTACACGTTTCACGTGTTGGGAGTCCAATCTGTCGAGTTCTCTGTATTAGAAGGAATAAAATAAATATTCAATTGTAACTAGTAAGTAGCCTGCTACTTAAAACAATATTCTTAGAAAGAGTAAACCATTTTTTCAATGTGTAGCGATTAATTTGGATTACACAAAAGCAACATTTCACATTTTGTTTGATGTGTGCTTCACCAAGATAATATCACACATTGTTTGATGTATGCTTCACCAAGGTAACTTTACACATTGTTTGATGTATGCTTCACCAAGGTAACATTACATATTGTGTGAAGAGTGTTTCTTCACCAAGTTAACACATTACATCGTTTGACCTATGCTTTGTCATGGCAACACTACACCTTGTTTGATGTTTTTTTTCATTAAGGTAATACATTACATTGACTTGTGTGTATTTAACTTGTGTAGTAGACATTTATCGACTTGTGTGTATTTAACTTATGTATTAGACATTTATTGACTTGTGATTCATTAGGGTTACACTTCCCATTATTGGATTTGTTATTTTTACAGGTACCACTGCACATTGATTGATGCGTATTTTACCTATGTACTGGACATTTATTGACTTGTGATTAATCAGGGTTACACTTCCCACTGGTTGATTTGTTATTTTTACAGGTATTAATGCGCATTGACTTGTGTGTATTTAACCTATGTACTGGACTTTATTGACTTGTGATTAATCAGGGTTACACTTCCTATTATTGGATTTGTTATTTTTACAGGTACCACTGCACATTGATTGATGCGTATTTTACCTATGTACTGGACATTTATTGACTTGTGATTAATCAGGGTTACACTTCCCACTGGTTGATTTGTTATTTTTACAGGTATTAATGCGCATTGACTTGTGTGTATTTAACCTATGTACTAGCCATTTATTGACTTATGATTCATCAGGGTTACACTTCCCATTATTGGATTTGTTATTTTTGTAGGTACCACTGCACATTGATTGATGCGTATTTACCTATGTACTGAACGTTTACTGACTTGTTATTAATCAGGGTTACACTTCCCACTGGTTGATTTGTTATTTTTACAGATATTAATGAGCATTGGCTTGTGTGTATTTAACCTATGTTCTAGACATATAATGACTTGTGATTCATTAGGGTTACACTTCCCATTATTGGTAAGAAAATAGTATTATTGTATATTATTGCAATAACAAAGTTTTGAGGTCATGATAATTGAGTTTCATTCTTGTGTGTATTTAACCTGTGTTCTAGACATTTATTGACTTGTGATTCATTAGGGTTACACTTCCCATTATTGTATTTGTTATTTTTACAGGTACCACTGCACATTGATTGATGCGTATTTTACCTATGTACTAGACATTTATTGACTTGTGATTAATCAGGGTTACACTTCCCATTGGTTGCTTTGTTATTTTTACAGATATTAATGAGCATTGGCTTGTGTGTATTTAACCTATGTACTAGCCATTTATTGACTTGTGATTCATTAGGGTTACACTTCCCATTATTGGATTTGTTATTTTTACAGGTACCACTGCACACTGATTGATGCGTATTTTACCTATGTACTAGCCATTTATTGACTTGTGATTCATCAGGGTTATACTTCCTATTATTGGTTGATTTGTGATTTTTCCAGGTAAAAGAAACACATTGATTGATACGTATTTTACCAAGTGAATTTTATACTTTGGTGACGTGTTCTTAATCTATGTAATATTTCACCTTACCTGATGTGTGCGTCATCAAAGTATTTGAAAGAGGAACTTAGTTTTACAAAGTAAATATTTAGGGCTGTGTTACGGGAAGATTTATACACAACCAGTAAGCAGTCTATTCTATACTAGAGGTTATTGTTTATAGGTCATCACAATGGATTCCCTATGATGTGCTTACGGGTATCTAAACGTTATAAGTCCCTAGACTAAGACTAAAGGGGGAGGGGGAAGTATTCTAGTAGTACGAGTGAAATGTTTAACAGAAAATAATTAACGGTAAGTAAATATTTTTCGGCGTATAAATGCACAATTTTTAAGTCCTGACAGTTGGTAAGAAAATAGTATTATTGTATATTATTGCAATAACAAAGTTTTGAGGTCATGATAATTGAGTTTCATTGTTGTTTCCATATTAGCAATTAGTTATTTCCAATAAGTTACAACAACTCAAGTGTTATAAATTCCACATCTTGAACTATGTAGTTCTAAATAGTTAGGCTCGAACAAACAGAAATGAAATTTGGATGAAATAACATTTTAAACCTTAGAGAATTGTGAGCTTTAATTTGAATGTAAAATATTAGAAAACTCTTCCACGGTTAAGATAGACACGTTACATTCACTATGTTAATTCTGTCTTAAGAAATACAGATGGCTGTTGGGAGTTCTTTTCTTAAATCAGCTATTGCTCTCTTTCTTTAAAAAAAATAATTGAGGATTAATATAACTAGTAGAAACGCAGCTCTACGGGCGGCTGTTTTTGCTAGTAATTACTAATCGTAGTATTGAAAAATGGGAAGTACTGCAAGAGAAAAGTGATCGGATTGTGCTGATATAAACTGTAATGTTTTTATATACTAAAAGTGGTATCCTTTACTGAAAAAACAACATTTTTAAGAACTCCATTTGTTAATACTATATTTACAAATTACACCAATAAAGATATAATCAAACATCCTAGTGAAAGTCGTGTTCGTTTTGTCAAGAGAGTACTGTTATTTAAAATTGTATTCTATGATAAAGATAAATCTTGAATACCCAAAGTGTAAAACTTTTTATGGATTTTTTTCTTGAAATGCCATTCAGTAGAGGGCGCCACATTGTATTTATCATTTTGGTCACATACATAGATACATATATTCACATTACGTCGATTATAGTAACATAGTATCAAGTATATATAATACACAATATTTCTAGTCTATGGTGGGTAAGCTATTAGTTTACGGAAGTACAATATTATAAACCAGGTGGTCGATTCCTTGCAATGGACAACCAAAGCACAGGTACTCAGTCCCTGTGTAGCTGTGCAATTTAAATAGCATTAAAATATGTTATGCTAGAGTCTCCATCTGTTGGGTAATAAACCTATTAAGAGCAATATGATAGGAGGAGCTTCGATGGAGTATACTATACGCTTGGTATATTCTGTTATATTGATTCATCAAGTCTATTCTTTAACATATTCAGTTGCATCAGTTAATCAGGTCAATCTATCGAGTATACCATGTTACATTAGCTAATCATATAATATATTATATAAATATTAACTGATAGGGTTTATTCTCTTTCAGCTTATTCTAATACATTAATTACTCAGTTCTGTTCATTTCGCATATTCTCATATATTAATTGATAAGATCTATTAATTTAGCATATTCTATTACATTAATTAACTATCTCTATTAGTTTAACCTATTCTGTTATAAAAATTAGTCCGTTTATTCATGTAGCATATTCTGATATATTAATTGATTAGTTATATTCGTTTAGCATATTATGTAGAATTGTGGTTTTCCAAAAAAAAACCTGTAGCTGTTCCAAAAACCACTGTAAAACTAAAGTTGTTACAAAGCCCACTGGAAAACTGTAGTTGTTACAAAAATCACTGTAAAATTGAAGTTGTTTCAAAAACAACTGTAAAATTGAAACTGTTACAACTCCACTGTAAAACTGTAATTGTTACAAAATCCACTGTAAAACGGTAGTTGTTCCCAAAAAACTGTAAAACTGTAGTTGTTACAAAACCACCGTAAAAAGAAGTTATTCTAAAAACTGTAAAATTAAAATTTGTAGTTGTTCCAAGGCAACTGTAAACTTGTTGTTCCAAAATCATTGTGAAACGTAGCTATTCTAAAACAACTGTAAATCCGCTAAAAAACGAGAAAAGATTAGGTAAACTCTAAAAACAAGTATGAAACAGTAAACAAATATATCTTATGTTCGACAAGAAGTATTGAAATATAAACATACGAGTTTATAATGCTAGAACGCTTGGGATAGTTGGAATTATTAATGTTAACTCCAGTCATCTTAATAATAATGAAAACGGATATTTTCATTTTTAGTTTGATCATCGCCAACTTCACAAATCAACCACATCGAACAGAAATACTTGATTATGTCCTTGTAGAAACACAAACTTAATATTGAACTGAATAACTTACACAAAACTCGCTACATCAATAGCCCTTTGTAAAACACTCAACAACTAAGTCATTTTTTATTCATATTGCTTAAGTAGTTTACTAAATCTTGGAGAAAGTTCCAGGTATTAAGACCACGTCGAGCACGTTCCCTTAAACTTCCTTCCGACTAAATAACAATACAATTTCTAGAAATGCCTGGATAGGAAACAGAGGCGAGAACAAAATATTAAACAGTGAACAGATGCGTTTAATGTTCCAAAACAGTAGAAAGATAAACACAATGTTTGAAAACAATTATTAAATTGTAAAAATATATATGATATATCTATATATATATATGTAGTGTGGACGAAGCAGTTTGATTGGTTGACGAGTCGGATGTCTAGGTCATTATTATAGTTTAACATCTATTTATTCATCTATAAAACGTGTAATATTGCTGAGCTTTTTAGGGGGATCATTAGGTTGATAAATGTATGGTCATTAGTCCAGGTCAACATATACATATTTGAAAAGGTTGTTTGTTGTACAAAACTTGAAGATAGCTCTGATAT